GCACGCACGTACAATCTTTTCCTCATTACTCCGATCTTAAGTCATGAGTTAGCGTGATAAGTTAGCGCTCAGGTGAAATAAAATTGCAATTTCATTTTTTTTTAAATAAACTCATAAGGTACGGTCATTATTACAAACATTACATTTATAATTAATATTAATTGTCATTAGTCTCTCTCTAATGATCTTTCTATGAAATAGAAAGATGATTAGAAACAAATAAAATCCTAAAAAAATTATCTGAAGACATGGTAAAACATAGCACAAGACTTTACACGAATCGGCGAATTACGCGAGATTATCGGATCTCAATAATGGTTGTCCCGATCGGATTTAAGTAGACTTATTGGATAGCTTACACTCCAATTGTATTATACGTGCTTTTATTTTTTTTCTCTCATATCCTACAAGTAGAGATATTGCGAATTGCGACGAAAAGTCCGGATCTGTAACTTTTCAGATTCAAATATGTTGTTATTATTATCATTATTATTATTGTCGTCGACCAGCTTTCAAAAAGCTTTGCACCATCTGATGTTAGATGACGCCTGCATATTTGAGTTATGATGTTTAGAGGTTCGCGGCGATGTGCGCAGCGCGAGGCGCTTATTAGACAATCCCCTAAAGTCAGAGATTTTTAAAGTACCGCAAACTTGTCTCCATCTTGACGCAAAATATGATCATTTTCAAACTTATGTATTATTGTATTATATTGTATAAACGTAGTTTATTTGGAAAAATAAAGCCGTAAAATATGTAAATTAATTTCTTAATTGTAAATAATTTATTTATGAACCAAAAGAAATACTATACGAATGCTTAATTTGTGTATCTTTTAATCTAAGGTTTTTTTTCTTTGAAATGTAGTGCAAAAAAGTGCACGAAAGTATGTATTATTCACATATAAAGATTGAGGCTTGCCAAGCATTCATATCAATTGTTAAATTTCAAACAAGCAAGCGGACCAGCAAGCTAAACCGTAAAATGCGCAAGCAATATTTACATATATGTATTATAAATAGAAAACATCGTGTGAATAGTGCATATGGTGTTCTGCCATTTTGACGCAATCAAACTCAAAAGCCCATTGCGGTACTTTAGAAATCTAATGACTTTAGCAGCCCGTACTCCCAGCATGCCAAGCTATCGATGGCAGATATTCGGCGCTTTACAAATTAATGTTTCGATTGCGAAAATTGTGAAATGATCGAGAACTAAGCTAGGAAATGATCATGACGAAACGATTTGTTCATTATCGATTATTACAAAAGGAGATCGAACGGAAATGAAATTATACATTGGTATCTGTTAACTAAGTTAAGAAATGGTAATGACAAAGTTTATTTGATCTTTATTTATTTATAAGTCAATATTTAACAAAAGGAGATCGAATGGAAACGAAATTATACACTACATATATTTGTTAATTAAGCTAAGAAGATGATAATAACAAAGCGATTTATACAACCTGATCTCCATTTGTTTAAAATTTAATATTAAAAAAAAAAATTGAATGGAAACGGAATTATACGGTATTTGTTAACTAAATTAGAAATGAAAAAGCAATTTATTCGTCATCGATCCCTATTTGTTCACAACTTAATATATAACAAAAGAAGATCGAACGAAAACAAAATTATATCTATATTTTATCTATATATAAAATTATATCTACACTATATTCATTAGCTAGGAAATAATAATGAAAAAAACGATTTATTGGTCATCGGTTCCTATTTGTTTCTAACTATTTGTTTATAACTTTATAACTATTTGTTTATAACTTAATACAAAACAAAAGAAGATCGAATAAAA